TAGTCAGCATATTTAATTTATGTCAATGATGACAGATATTGATAATTTCGATTCCAAATATCTCGAGAACCGTTCCTTGTAGCGATTTTTACCAAGAGATCTTTTTTACGTAGAAAATGTCATAAAATTATATTTTTTTACTCACTAATTTTATACGGGTACGGACGAAAAGGTATTACTCTTCAAACCAGTTAAAAAATATGTAGGTGGCGCCCTCTACAAGTAGGAGTCATATTGACATCAAAATCAAATTTTTCATGTTAAAAAAACCCCAGACCCCAATTTTCATCCAAATATTGACGTTACTTCAGAAATTATTTGGAAAAATTCGAAATAAAAATGAAACTTGTACACCCTGTATCTCAGAAACTAAGCATTTTAGGATCTACATTTATACGAACTTTTTTACTTATTTTTATCTGCAGAATATGCTGCCGAAGTTTCTGGAATACAATTCGGACCACCCTGTATACTGTTTACTCCACGCTCGAGACGCTTCCGCTTTGAAAGTCAGACGACCTGTGTGCGGACGCTAATATTTACTACCCGAAACAGCGTTACATCACAAACTTCGTACCTGAGAAGTTTACTGTTTAAATAACTACATTAGTAAAAACCAAATTACTTAGTTCTGACTTCTGACATAACCACTATTTCAATACTATTTCAATGCGATCAGCGTGAAAGGTATTCGGGATGGCGTGAAATAAAGTAGCCGGACATTCTGATTTCTGCCGTACTGAGCATTATTGTTGGAATTTTAAAAGAGCTGTTAAAATGCACCAAGCCTATATCACTGATGAGCTTTTGCTTCTAGTTGAATTGAATGTTCTTAATAAAATATAGATTAGTTTTGATTTAAAGGTATAATAAATAAAGCATAAACATTCCCTTAATGGAAGCATATAAATACTGAATTTTCTAGGTTCTAATAATATCAAAGTCAGAAGAAAAAAAACGAAAAGGTGTTTGTCGTAAATCTTTGGAAAATCAATTTATGAACCTGTCTTCATGTTTTTATGCATTTTGGAGTGGACACTTTTTATTTGTCTTCTAATTCTTTATTATTTTAACTAGACTTTTTATATATAGAATTAGCCAAAGTTTAATTTTGACTTAAAAATATTAGCTTCATAAATAAGATAAGAATTAAAGATATTTAATTGTGTGATAGTAATGTGATTGTTAAAAATTAACTGTTATAATAAAATTTCTTTAAAGTAATACATATTGCTTTTTATTATCGGAAAGGGATTACGGCTATTTAATGTTTTCTTTTTAACAAGTCCTCATAATTATTTTCAGTCTCCTATTCTGTCCGTTTTGTAGACGCTTGTTTTTAGATTCAAGTGAGGGTCTTTTTGATTTTCCAGTGTTAAAAGATATTTGTTCGTAAATATTAAAAAATAGTCTATTAATAGTCTAAATAACTAATTAGTTGAGTTCGATTTCTTCTGGCTTTGTGCAACGTTGCCCTGTTTTTTTCTGTGTCGCAAGTCGCAAATCAATTACAGATATAAAAATAAATGAGAATTTTATTCACTTTTATGTTTTTTTAATTCAGAGACAAACATAAAGCCCGCTCCAGACATAACATTTTTCTCTATTTCTATATATTCCGTTTTTCAACGTCAATTCAGTTCAAATACACTTCCATCTTTTGGACTACATACAATGTTTTACTTGATAGGTTTTGACTTAATTATTATTATAAACATATAAATCTGATTGTGCCTAATAAAAATAAATCAGAAATTGATTAAAACTCATTTTTGTCTCCTTACACGAGTGCTTGACACCGATGTGTGCATCAAGAAATAATTTATTAAACTATATAACAGCCACTACACTAATCGCGAACCAAGCCGAAATAGATCAAAGTCGACTAGTGAAGAGGCTGATTTCGTATTTTCTTGTTTAATGAAAATACAAGCTTTTTTCGGGTTCTTGTTATTACCGATTCTGAACCGTCCTAGAACTCTGCAGCGCATGCGCAAATAAAATAATGTCTTCATATTTCCTTCTGCGCATACGCATCACAGTTCTAGGACGGTTCAGAGTCGGTAATAACAAGAACCCGAACAAAGCTACAATTGACATACTTCGGGTTATTTCGCGAACAGTGTAGAGAGCGTTTATGACATTGGAAGAATCTTTAAAATTATTCGGGAATAGCAAGCAGACAATACAATTCAAAAGTTTAGTGATCAAGTGTGCTTTGAATGATGACAACTAAAGAATTCTTATTTATTTATTATTTTTTATTAAACTTTTTGGATCGTTTACTTAAAATAGAACATTTACTCTCAATATTGATGAAATATACGTCACTAGTAGTGACTAAAGGTTAAACGTAGTGACTAACGTGTCACCACGCCAATGCTTGTCAAGTCCATCGAACCAAAAACATTTATTTGCTAACATTGTCAGCTACAGACACAGCAGGCGTGCGAATTACTATCAAGGTAGTGTTGATATATCCCCCAAGTTTTACTTGTTACTTACACTGGCAAGCGGTACCATAACCATAACTGCACATTATGGCTTCGTCTGTAAATCCTATTAGCTTTAGATGCCGATTCAGCATCTACAGACCCACTACAGGTTTAACTGTCTTTCTGTCTTTGCTTATCAGTTCTGCCGTGAATTTAGGCGAATGCTCCACCATTCTAGAGATTTATTGGCCAGCGATCGTTTTGTGGCCATCCACGTGACTGGTCTTGCAACGCCGCAGAAGGGTTCTATAAATAGTATTGATGGGCCTTATTTGGCCATTTTATCAGTCTTTTTGTTACCATTTGCTGTCCTCCTTTCACGCAGTTGAGCAGCTCTGAACTGTTCAAGAACGCGATACTCTCACTCCATTCAATTGAGTCATAAAGTTCCAGAACTGTTCCGCGCCATATGGAGGCACCATCAGGCTATCGCGCACCGCTCCGGTATTCGGCAATTTGTCGAGGTTGCCGTGGACGCGCATCACGCGTTGCTTTGCAGAATATATTTGCAATTTTATTTTAGATTTAGGGAGGAAATGGGTTTGATAGTCGATGTCGTTAAACAGGGATGGGGCACAACTAACGATGGAAACACTGCGAGAAGATTTTCCGAAACTTCGAAAAGTCATAACAAATTACAGGAATCGATGAATTGATTGCTGGAAAGACAATATACATTACTCCAAGTTTTGGTTTCAGGAAAAAAAAAAATAAATGCCGAAAAGTTTAATAAATTTGCAAAGAGACTGCAGAAGAGTTAACCTTTATGGATGGTATTACATACCATCTTCTCTACACAAAATGTTGATACACGGAGCAAAAATCATCAGCAATTTTTGGTTTCCGATAGGGCATCTGTCTGAAGAGGCCTCAGAGTCTAGGAATAAATATTTTCGGAAATATAGAGAATGCCGTTCAAGAAGGTCTAACAGAACTTTTGCAAATGAAGACATTTTACATAATCTTTTGTTGTTTTCCGATCCATATATAACTGATATGCGTAGCTGTGATAAAATTCATAGCGATTTAACAGAGAAAGCAATATCTCTTTTGTTATAATATTTTTGTTTTCTTTTTTATTTAGAGATTAGTTCTTTTGTGAGTCACCCTGTATATTTTGTTAACTATTTGGTACAAAAGGCCATATTAATTTAGATTTAACAGAGAAAGTAATTTCTCATATGTTATAATGTTTTGTTTTCTTTTTTGTTTATAGATGAGCTCTTTTTGTAAGACACCCTGTATATTTTTTAAAATATCTGGTACAAAAGGCCATATTAATTTAGATTTAACAGAGAAAGCAATTTCTTTTTTGTTATAATATTTTTGTTTTCTTTTTGTTTAGATATTAGTTCTTTTTTTGAGACACTCTGTATATTTTGTAAACTATATGGTACAAAATGCCATATTAATTTAGATTTTTGTTGTATTTATTGAAGTCGTACATAAAAAACAGTAAAATAAAAGTATTAATTTCGAAATAAGTCAATGTCCCTATTTTCCTATGCTTCGATCCATTGTGCGTCGCCCGGCGACAACTGAAATCCAGTTTTAATTGTATTATAATCGATCCTGACGAATAAATGAATTTGATAAACGAATGAATTTTATAAATGAATGGTTTTTGCTGTCGAATTACTAGAATACAATATTTCAAGGCAGATGACGCATCTATTCGATAATTTTTATTCGAATAGTTTTCAACGAATGTTTTCTTACTAGCTATCGAATTATTCGAATGAATTGCAACTATCGAATGTTTCGATAGTATTCATTCGATAGTTCCCACTACTAGTGGTAAGTTCCACAAAACTTCCATCACATTTGTGGGAGTGGTTTGGTCATGGCTCCCGTTATACACAGACAAGCAAGCCTTTGTGTGGAACTTAATAGCCTTAGCGCGTTCACTTGCAATACCTTTGTCCACCACACCACCGACCCGTAGATTATCATGGGTCTTACAACCCTTGTGTATAAATTGCGTTTATCTTATCAAGAAGTTCGAAATCGACAAAACATCAATATACAACTTTTAATCGGCATTAAACATCCTACACAATTTTGGTAACAAGAGAAAAAAGTCATTGGCGCACTTGTTTTTTTTAAATATTCCAGTAATAACCCATATGCACGGCCCTGGTGAATCTGTTGACTTTTTTAGCATCAAAATATGTTACACTTATAGTAAATTTTACCCTCAAAAGTTCATTGGAATCACTAAAAGCACTTGGCAGAAAATTATAACTAATCGGAAAAATATGAAGACCTTATAACCCCCTGTAGCTGCGATACAAAGTAGAATCGGACCTATGTTGATATAGAAAATAAGTCTTATTTTTACGTGAGGAATCTCCTCACGAGAGATGGCATAACACCCTGTATATTGAAAGGATACAAATACATATTTCTGAAAAATCAATTATTTCTTTCTCTATCACTGATAAGTCGATTTTTGGTACAGCCAAGGGGAACTTTAACTTTACTTATTATTTTGTCTTCTTTTAGGTCGAGTTGCCGCTAGTCCCACGTCCACTCATACCGCCCAACTGATCGGTGGCGCCATCTCGCCGTCGTTGTTCACATCGCCTGTCGCCGCGCACGCGCAGCAACAACAACCACAACCGATCGTGATGGCCAATTACCCGGTAGCCCAGAACTTGATGATAGGCGATTACGTCAAACCAGGAAACGGAATGGTGTCGGCGGTGTATCGCCAATAATTTAAGTTAGGCTCGTGTAAAATAAATCGTACGCTCAACGATACAGGTAAAAAAAGATGGCCTACAGCTTTCGTAATGTAGTGTAGCAAAGGCCTAAGGAGTATTTATATAAATTTTGTTCGTGAGTCGTGTTTGTGATAAATAATCTGTAGAGAGGGCATTTTAAAAATATTTTTGTCTTAAGTGAAAGAATTAATTTGTACGTTGATTCGTTGTACTGTAGGCCATCAATATGATTTTTTTTTATTTTACTGTGTAGATCTGGCAACTTTTAATTTGTTTTATACGTCCTTTTCTATTTTGTGGATATTATGAAAAATCGCAGAGACTAGTAATTGATCAAAATTATGATATCACTTTATTTTGTGGCATAATTCTTATAAATTCAATACATATATGTGATTGTAATAAATGTAATACAGTAAACTATGAATTCTCTCTCACATTTTGTTTTTAAAATGTATCTATTGAAACATACTGACCGGTAAAAAACGGACACCGTAAAATTTTCATGTATTTTAAAGTTCAATATATTTTATTCCAGTGGACCGATTTTGATAATATTTTAAGAATGTTATAACCTTGTAGCCCCTTTTTACGAGTTTTCAGTGACAGTGACATTACAAAAATAATAAACTATTTCATTGGTTTGTTGACGAAGACTAAGCTTACACGCTTACAGGAAGAGCAAAACAGTTTTAGTCAAAAACTTTTTTGACTAAAGGAGTTTTCGTGTAATGTGATGCTTCAATGCAAATTAAATGGGCTAGCACACACTGATCAGTCACGAGCTTTAAGAAAGGTTTAGGCTCGTTTAGTCACAATCAAGCTCTGAATCCACACATCGATGTCGAGCTCTGGATCTTCGTTTTATGATAAAACATTTTTAGCGCCGCACGTTCTGTATCCGCTGCCATATATATTTGATTGTAAATAAAACATTTTGCTTCTCTTCAAAACATAATGTTTTTATGAAAGACAAAAACGTTTTTCACTAAAACAGTTTTGCTCTTTCTATGTGCGTCCAGCCTAAAAGCAATGACATGCTTTTAATGCTAAAATTCCTGTAAATCTTTTAGTGTCTTCTGATTCTTCAAAAGTCTTCTAGTCTACTGATTCTTCAAAAAATTCTTCTAATTAGATGAATCAAAAAATAATATATTGAGAAAGGTGACATCTTGAGGATAAAGTAGACTTTGGATTCATTTCTTTAGAAAACCATTGCACAGGATGTTTCAAACTTTCACCAAAATACAACATTTTGTTTCCTTTGTATAATATACAAACGAGGACTTCAATTTTCAATTTAAAAAATAGCTAAAAAGTAATATAATTTAGCTTCAAATTGTCTAAATTATCATCAAAATCGGCCCACTAAACAAAATATATTTGTAATTTTTTTTTATAACTTTAAATACATCAAAGTTTTAAAGTGTACGTTTTGCGTGCGATCAAGCTTGCGACAAGATTGAATTGTAGTTTAGTTTATGCATATATATATATATATATATATATATATATATATATATATATATATATATATATATATATATATATATATATATATATATATATATATATATATATATATATATATATATATATATATATATATATATATATATATATATATATATATATATATATATATATATATTAGACTATATCGCTAGTCAGGAACAGAAATTCAAGCCAAATTTTTGAGATGGAGCTGTACAAAACCGACATGTCAGACCTTTTGGTTCAACAACTTTCAACTACGCAAGCGTGAGAAGTCTTTCGCGATTAGTTGATTTATTTCACACTAACCAATACAAGTAGTTTACATAAATCATTTTAGCGACTGTTCGCCCCTTTACTTAAAAATTTAAATTTAATCTCCGACACATTTAAACAAAAACAAGATACAGATAGATATATTTACATTTCAAGATTATCTAATATAACAGGTTGAAATGATATTATTACCAAAAAAATAATATATATTATTAATATTTAGAGTTTAAAGTAGTGAGCGATCAGGTGACAGCCGGTGACAGCGTTCAGTAGTGATGTAAACTTTAGTTACTTTTATGGACTCGTAACTACTAGTTACTTTTGGTAACAGGACTCGTTACTTTGGACTCGTTACTTTAGTTACTCGTTACTTTGGTACTTAGTATCGTTACTTTATAATCGTCGTTTTGTGTACAGTTTGGAAGACTTGGGCTTGACTTGGAAAAAATCGAAATAAAAATGAAACTTCTACACCCTGTATCTCCGAAACTAAGCATTTTAGGACATACATTTATACGAACTTTTTTAGTTATTTTTATCTGCAGAATATGCCGCCGAAGTTTCCGAAATACAGTTCGGACCACCCTGTATATGTATTAATAAAATTAAAAATAAAAGAAAACAAATCAAACAAAGAAAATATGTGAATAATACAAAGTATTTTTTTATTTTTCTTTTCTCTCTCTCTCTTTGTATTTTACATTAATAATTATGCAAACATTAAAGAGTTAAAATTAAAAAAAAATGTATATATTTTTGTTAAAATGTAAAAATATTTAAAAAATGTCTATTCCTCTGTGACGGATTCATCTCTTCAAAAAAATCCTTTGGATTAACGCCAGCAGTGTTTACTAAAATTTACTATTTTTATTTTGTAGATTTTCTTACTGGGTAAGTGGCGAAATATCTGTTCTTTTTTGAAGAGGAAAAATATTTCCTCTGCTTTTTCACATGTTACCATTTTTTGTGAATAACGTGAATCCATTTTTAATCAATATCTAAGACATGTTAATCTAAATGAACAATTCTATTCTTCGCCCACCGAGCAACTATAAATAAAAAAATAAACACACTCTACCCCTAAATAATATCTTATATTACTTATTTCAACTAAAATTGAAAAAACGTGCGGAATTACCTAAATAAAAAGCGACAACAAATGGCAAAGAAGACCACCACCGGGTCGGCATGAACCAATCCATAATAATTGTAATAAAAATATCACACATTTGCGATCCAAAACACCGGCCGGTGTCAACTCAACTCTTTAAACATAAACATATTGATAACAACTAGACCTACGTCGAAGTAACGAATATTTCAGTCTCGAGTTTCGAGTCCTCGGTTCGTGCATTTCCAGGGATTACGATTACTGCCAGCGCAAAAGTAACGAATTAGTTTAGTAACAAGTAACGAGTCCTAAATTCAAATGGTAAGCGTTACTTTACTAAGTAACTGTTACTTTGTAACGATTGCTTAGAATTTTTACATTACTAGCGTTCAGCAACGAAGTAGACGCATCAGATCATTTTATTTGGGGCGTGGGCATAAAAATCGTGTTGAACCAAAAGGATAGACTTATGCAAGATTGATATTCCCATTTCATTTCTTTGCCTTCATTTTCCACTCATTGAGTAAATGCGGTATTAACGGTATGTTCTGATATGTATATGAGTTTATGCCAGTTATCAACATTCTTATTCTATCTTAAAACGGCAAAAATAATCCAGCTTTCTGTTTTAAAATGTAGATTGGAACAGGATCTAAGCTGTAATTCTACAAATATCAACTGACAAGTAGAATTTTCTAAAAAATTGTCTTAGAATAAAGAAGAAACCAAACTGCGATTTTATTTCATAATAATTTTAAGATAGAACTGAATTTTTATTATTTAACACTTTTAGAACATTAAACGTCTACGAAACTTCACAGTTCCAAAGTTGTGATATTCGAGGTATTTTTTTCTATATTTAGCGCCATTGACGGTCAAGATTAAATATTTCGTTATTTTGTGGTAGTTAATATTTAATGACGTGGCGGTATAATTAATTATAGGACTTTCCAATTTAGTCTTTCTATGTGAAATACCTTTTTTTCATTTAGATCAATTTCTTTGTCTAGTGGATATGACTAGTTTATTTATTATTTTACATATTGTAGTCGGAGGCGTTCTTCCAACGGATCACTTTTATTTTATTGAAGTCATTCTGTTCTTTTTACACTATCTTTTTTTTTATATATTTTAACGGTACCGTTGTCGCATGAGATTATCTTTGTAATAGTTTAGATTTTACGTACAAACATTGCCAGAGGGAGGCCTCCATTTTGGCTTTTATTTTCGTGTGATTTTATGTTTTAAGTTTTTACAAATAGGTCGCGGATATTCCTTTTTGATAAATCGCGTTAACTTAGGATAATCGTATCGAGTAAGACATTTAGTTTTAATTATGCCGAATGAATGCGAATGAAAATAATCCAGTCATCGTGATCGATCTTATTTCTGTCGATAGCGGAGTATTATAAAGAATGAGTCAGTAATCGTAGTAGGCTTGGTATTTGTGATGATTTTAAATTTTACCTTAATCATTTAAGTTTTATCTTTCCTCTAATAGGAAAATTACAACACGGATCACCTTTTAACATTTAATTGTTGCTATAGGATGGCTAAAATTGACAATAAAGATTTGTTTTTTTTGTGAACTTGTGTGTTGCATCTTGTTTATAATATGAAAATTCTGATAATATTTAGTCTGCTGCCTATGAAATTAAATTATATTTAGATTGGTGATAAAGCACATAACACAATATAAAATAAATTTTATGAATAGAGGAGATCAAAAATATCTTAATCTCTGGGATTTCCCTCGTGTTGATTCCCAGGAGTTGTAGTGGAATTTAATAGCCCATATATTTCATTTTGATTTAAACCTTAGTATTTTATTGACTTTTGTCTATATATTCTTGTTAAATATATACAGGTGTGTTAAATACATAGTTAAATATTATATTAAATAAGTCTTTCAAACGAAAAAACTATATTTTTTAGGATTTTTTTTGGTATTTAAGAAATTTTAGAACTGTTTAAATAAGAATGAAGTTGCTTGGACTTACTATTTAATTAACCTATAATAATACATTTATTTCTGATGGAAGCTAGTAAAATTACTGTATTGTAGCATTAATGAAAGAGTAGTTTTAAAGTTTTAAATTAAACCATTCTTGGCACTGAAATTAGATAAATGGGTAAAAATATTCGTTTTTGTTCATTTC